AGGGCCAGAAAAAGGTATGTAAATGAGGAGGAGGAGACTAATTCAGAAAGCTGTATGTAAATGGGGGGTGGAGACAGATTCAGACAGTTGAATATGAATGAGGGGAGGGACAGATTCTAGCACCCACCTTAGCGGCAGACAGGGCGTTCTGCTGGGTGATGTAGTTCATGTCGGAGTCATACTTATTCTGAAGTTGCTGCGCCCGCTTCTCATATTCCTGGATGAGATTATCTTTATCATTCTGCGTTGAGGAGAACCTGGAGGAGGAGTTGGCACCATCATTAATATCTATATACAGTATACACACACACACACACAGGTATGAGGTTCTGGCACTGAGGGGTAACTGGCGGATTTATTGGGAACCTGATCCAGAGGAAGGCGAATAGTTACATCCGGAAAGACCTCTTCCTGACCATGAGGAAAGTATCCATCCCTTTGTTATAAACAACCTGCTCTGTCCTCTAGTACAGTAAAGAGTCCTTTCTGCAGCTGAACATTCGGTTTGGGTCATTTATTGACTTACATGTTGGCACAAGATGCGTCATCTCAATCGAGGGCTGCATGGGATCCACACATGCAGATTACATGGCTTTGGTGCCAGGGACTCTCCTTAATAAAAACAATTAGCGTGCGGAATTCTGCCTCCATCTCCTTGTTATAGGAGAAGTGACATCCAACACAAAGGAGGACACTTTCTGAGGACCCCTTGCTCTCTTCGGGAGCTCCTACGGAGACTGCACCTTCCCATTATGGATCTTAGTGACGCGGTTTGATAGCGGCATAGACTGAGCCCGTCCCTGGTCTCCCCGGAAAGCCCCTACAGGGGTGGAACTGTTGCAACAACTCATGCCCTCTTCCCTCACCCGGAGCTCTTTTTTGGCCGTGCTTGTGGACACATAGCAGCTTGGGATTGTTATGAAAGGTTCCAGAAGAAGCCGTTCTCTGCGAAACGCGTAGAATCTATTGAGAATCCACTATCTATTCAAGCTTGCATAACTGTGGCTAAGGTATATAGACGGCTGTTTCCCTCAATCTTGCTCTGTGATAACTACTCACAATGGCCAGGATGTTCTCTGTAACACATCAGATACGTTTTGTTTATCAGCACTTTAGTAATTGTATTACTTTGTGGCACCTTTAAAGCCATTCTTTTCTTTCGCTTCATAAATTGGTTTTATGTCATCAATCCTCCTGGCGTGTTTCCCCGAAAATAGGACACGGTCTTATATTTTTTTTGGCTCATAAAAACACACTAGGTCTTATTTTTGGGGGAGGTCTTATTTTTCTTTTTCTTTAATGTACAACAATCCGCACTTATTCATGTACAAAAATATGGTGATCGGGGCAATCAGGGGGGCCGTACCTTTCCGAGAGCAATTTGCTAACCAATCGCTGGCCAGAATGAGCGAAGCTTTCACTATGGATTCCTCACAGGAAGCGCATTTGGTATGACTCCGCCTGTGACAGGAGGCGGGGCTATAGAGGAGGCACCGGCTTATGCGGCTCTGCTCCCTCCGGTGCTGCCGCCTCGCTTCCTCTAGCGCCGGCTTCATTGGCACCGCTGATTCTCTCCCGCCTCTCCCGCGGCTCTTCAAGTTCCCCCTTATGCCACCACCGGCCCTGGGAATGGTCACAACTAGGTCTTATTTTCGGGGTAGGTCTTATCTTCAGGGAAACGGGTAGCTGAGGCTCTCCATGCCCTATGTCAATTATCTCGTCCAGTCCAAGGATATCATTTGTGGGAGCTGGCCCCCCAAAATTGACCTTCGCATTCCAGATGAGGTCATCCTAATGAATTATATTGGGGACACATATTGCATTAAAACATTAAAGGGGGGGGGGGGATCCCCTCACCCACCTGGTCTGTAGCTGCTGTAGATCTCCGCTTGCTTTCTGGTACACAGCCTCCAGCTCGGCCTTCTCCTGTGAAATCCTCTGCCTCTGTAAAGTGCTATTCTCAGCCTCCACTGTCAGCTGCTGGACTCGGACCTCCAGTTCCTTTACCGTGTGTGTCTGGAAGAGAGGGGCCCATCACACGTCATTCATTCCCACCTCCATCTTACCTCCTCCGCCTAGATCTGTGCCAAGTGTACCACTGGCAGAGAATACACCATGGGGCCAATAGCACTGTTCTGCTGGACCTCTGACATTCTACATTGACCCAGACTGCTTAAAGGAGAACTATGGGCTCAGTGTTTTCCCCCATAGTTCTCCTTAGGGTAACGGGAGGACACAAACTAGCGTCCTCCCGTCACCCTAAGCTCAGTATATAGGGAGCTACAGCTCGCGGTATACTGAGACGCCGCAGCCGGAGCGGATCCCAACATCGATTTCTGGATCCGCCCAGCTGCGTGAGTGACAGCTGGCTCCTCCTATCTAGAGGCAGGGCCAGCTGTACCCGCCCCTCCCCCGTCCGTTCCGCCAGTCAGCGCTGGCGGATCGGAGCGGGGAGAGGGGAATCCAGCCCCTCCCCTGTCACGGCAGAGAGCCGTGACAGGATCGAGAGGTGAGCGAGCGCCGGTATGTGTTCTCTCACTTCCCGATCTACTGAGCCGACCTGTGACAGTCTCATTGCCACAGGTCGGCTAGAACTATGAGGGGAGTGAAAAGCACCCCCTCCCCCTCATAGTTCTCTTATAAAGGTGAACCCTGGCCCTCCCTTCAGCCCTGATGTAAGCTGTGGGCGGGCTTTTGGGACAAATTATGCAAATATCAAAATGCCTTGATGGGTGGAGGAGTGGGTGTTGCTAGGCAGGTTTTATTTGCATTAGGACCCCCCTAGGTAACAACCTACATGTTATGCTGAGCCGCCATGATTGGAAGAACTGAAAACCAAATCAATGAAAAGGGCGAGCTAGGACCACTGGGGAGGAAAAGGACTAGGTGATGCTGGACGTCCTCCAGCCAGGATATGAGGCGGAGCTCTATGTGACTTGCTGCAGCTTCGCATGCACATTGTGAGCAGCTCCCAGTGTGCGCTGTGCAAGACTGAAGGCAAGGCCGGAGTGCTAAATACTCTGTACTTTGAAGTCACGCGTTTCAGGGACTCGATTTGTAATTGTGGTTTCGCCTTGTTCTTCAAAGAGTTCCATGTCAGTCCCCGCGCTGCACGCTGATAAACGGAGGCGTAGGAATTATCGCCGCTATCTGGAGGCGCACAAGAGATAACGCCCCGCGCAGAGAATGAGACAGAACCGTATTGTCAATAGCTAATAAAGAAAGACAAACGGCTGTCGGCACGGCTGGCAATAAAGAGCACAGCGGCGGTTCGGGGAGAA